TCTGATGGCTCAACTGTTACCTGTCAATCAAATGAACACACCCCTAATCATTCACAATTTCAAGCTTTATTTGCATATTAACAGGTGAGTTACAAAAACATTCACCCCCATCACAGTTGTCATGATGGTAAACTTGTTTTTTTAACCAGACTATAAACATGATTAGTTCTGCTGTGAAGTTGACATTTTTAACATGGGAGTCAATGGGAACTTGCTTCTTCCTGGAGCCAGCCCCTAGTGGTTGATGGTGGGAACTGCAATTTTTGTTACATCTGCATTGGTTTCAAATATAGTAGGTGAAGTTTGCCACTTGTGAGGCCCCTCTAGCCGAGGTAAACAGATCAGAAAATAAACCACAGACCTTTCTAGATAAATGCTGCCATCTTTCTCTTTGCCTGTTATCACACGCACTGCCAAAATCATGTGAAATATCCCGTTGGGAAGGGACACATCGCTGAGCTCGTGGGGAAGACACGTTTATTACAATATGCATCCTGTGGAAAGGTGAGGGAATTTTCCAAATTTTTCATGATTTACCAGTGTTCTCTGTAGCTTTCAGTCACGTAACAAAAACTATCTGACAGGAGAAAACCATCAATGTGCCTAACAGTGGACAATCAGCTGTACTACAGGATGACTGCCTATGATTTTGTTGAGTTTTGATCCATCAGCTTCATTTAAATCTCTAATAGATGTGATGGTTATGCATCTGAAAACCCCTCACCTGAGAACACAAACCTGCAGTGTAATGAATAAAAAGGGTCAATTTTCACCATCGAATTGACACGGCATAACCTTTCATACACGACAGAGCTGCAAAGTCAAGGTTACACCAGCTGGTGTCATGAGCCGGGGGTGAGTACTCGTCTCTCTACGTGAGATCTAGGGAGCGGCAGCTGCACCTGATCAGCTAATCAGTGGGTTGGCTTCTTAAGGAGGAAGGTGACACTACTCAACGCCAGATGATTGCTACTGACTGGTAGTTTCCAGCCCTCGTACTTGGCTCTTGGTTTTTGTGAACATTATTACGTGTACCTTTTCCTGGGACTTTTGTGACTTTACGTCTCTTGGATCTCCGACCTCAGGTTCTCCTCGTCTCTGGATTATTTCTAGCCTAGTGAACTAGACCAAATTCTTGCTTTGCAAAGTTTGGTCTAGGCATGCTCCATTGGAACCTCTGCAGCCCCAACAGCATTCTGGCTGGCCAATCACAGCTCTCTAGAGGGGTTTCAAACACATAATGAGCTGTGATTGGTCCATAATGGTGGGCCAATCATAGTGCTCTATCTGCTTAGTGAACAAATCACAGAGCTTTATCCGCTTTGTGGGCCAATCAGGGCACTCTATGCCTGGTGGGTGGGATGATGCAACAATTTGAAACAAGAGTATGTCACATTCATTGTCCAGTGGAATGCGGAGATCATTTGAAAGACAACGGTAGAACCCGCCCCACAACCGAGAGCCGCCAATGGAGCGTTGCCAGACTAAATAATACATTTATTTAGTCTGGCTTGCCAGGCTGGATTATTCCCTCACCACGCTCAATAGGACTCTGCTCTGCTCACACGCCACGTCATCCATTCACCTCTGACCGACCCGCTCTCCAACGACTGCCCTCTCCCTCTCCAGCTCTGGAACCGCTCACCTGGATACCCCCGGCTCGTTACCCATCCCCTCACCCGCTGAACTCATTTTACCCCAGTAAGTCCCCTCACTCATTATCTGTTGGAATTAAAGTTCTCAGGACTCACCTCTAATCTGCTCTCCCCTCCAGAAGCTGCGTTTCCCCTGTCCACTGGAATTCCCAGTGCGCTCTCAGCTACCGTTATCCACAAATAAAAATATTATTTTTCATTATATTGTCTCCTGGGTTGATTCTGCATGTCTTGGGTTGGACACTTTCCTCAGAACATGACAGCTGGAGGATCCAGACGCACAAATCAACCTTTTGCTTACTTATTGTTCTTCAACGCAGACATAAATAAACTGAAGGTTTCCCACAAAAGCCTTATCTCTCTGCTAAAAGTCAGACTGCTGGATTCCTCACTGAATAAAAGTGAATTCACAAATCCTACAAGGATTTACAATTTATGGTTAAATGATCATATGTGATGAATGAACAAGTCAAATGTTTGAATAATCTGTGCTATATGATCCATTTATGTCACAAATCACTGTGTTTCATTTAACAAGTTAATCATTGTTTATACTCATACACATTACAATAAGATACGTATTAACGTCAAAAACATTTTTTGTAACTGAAGAATATTTTGGTAAAGCCTTCCAAACATGTCAAATTCTGATTTGCCAGAATACGCCAGAAATCACAACATCGTGATTTAATTAAACACGAGTAACTTCCCGAGTAATTCAGTTTCTAGCGGAGTTCCGAACCCGCCAAATCGGAACAAGCATCCTTGGAAACCTGTTTGCACGCTGCAAGCTGACACAGCCAGACGGCCCCCTGAGAGCGACATCCACTTTGGACGCAAACAAGCATTCCAGCTATTGTTGTGACCTGGAGACATCTCAAGACTGGACGGGTCGCATCGAAGCTAATTTACTGGCTTCAGGTGCCGTGAAGTCCACCCGACTTCTGACAGACCGGATCTGCTGGGGGTCTCCGCCAGGGTTTGTAGAAACAACAGATTGCGTCTGATGCTGTTTTAGTAATAATCAACTCTCTAGTTTATAGTTTACACCCAGATTTCACAATTTCTTTCAGAAACAAAGATTCTGATAAACATCTGACTTGCATCACACCACCTCACACATCACATTCCATCATCGCATCTCCACTCCATCACATCTCATTATTCAAATCTTGTCATGTATAATCATTAGTTTGGAAAAGAATAAAATTCCTTTTTAACTATATACTTGACTCCGTCTGAATTAATACGAAGTGTGTTTATGGTCCCTGAACAAGCAAAGAACCCTAGACTCTTCTGATTAAACATTCAAAGATCAATCAGATTGATATTTCATATTTATATTTGGAATAATCACATCTTATTGGTCACAATTAACTCATTCACTGCCAGCCATTTCCTGATCGCTAACGGCCTTCGCTGCCAGCGTTTCTCACCGTTTTTTACTGTTTTTTTTAAGAGTCACAGAACGCTGCGTGCGCGCTAGCATGATGTCGATGCCAAAACAACCAAAACAAAGAGGACACTCACCTCTTACATCAGGAAGAATCCGCGTGTTTCGAGCTTTATCCGTTCTTTCATAATCCGTTGTTGAATTGTGATCGGCAGATGCTTTTCCGGTTCGCGCCTCACTTGTTTTACAGGAACGGCCCAAAACGATCTCCTAATACATGGATGGTCTGCTTCCTGATCATGTGATGTGTGACGTATGCGGATGAAGATCGGCTTCAGGGCTGAGATGTTTGTTCTCTCAGCGCGGGGGCTCGTTCTGATGCTCAAACAGTAAAAAAAAATGCAAATGACGTCATTGGCAGTGAACGGTTGGATCTAAAATGACGACTTTAGTCGTCAATGGCAGTGAATGAGTTAATTTGCAGTCATCACGCTATAAAGTGTGACCGCTACAATAGCATTAAAGAGGAATTCTGACATCGCCTTGCTTCATGCCTTTCCACTAACATGAGGATTTCTAATTTTTCTTGTCCGGATAGACCTTGTTTCACCACCGGAGGAAGGTTGCTAGTTAACACATCAGTGAGGAAGTACTTTGCAGGCCGCAAATCATCTTCTTTTAACAGAATTCCTGAGCAGTGAATATTCCTTCACCCCATCAAAGAAATTATCTGTTTCACATTATCTTTTTTTTTTCTAGTTGTCCCTTTTGCTCCGCAGCTGCCGGATCCTTTCTTGGTCACACAGCTGGCCTTCAGCTGAAGTGTCACCACAGTGTCCTCATTTGTCCTCTGCTCCTGTCAGCTTTTTTTTTATGTAAATCTACATTGTGAGTGAGACTACATATCCCAGAAAAAAAATAAAGTTTTATTTTTCACATCAAAAATGTCTTCTTATAAAATTCCAGCCATTCCATCCTCGCTGGTGTATTTGGAACCTAACTGGGGACGACAGGACGAGGGTGTGCGTTAAATGTCATCAATGTTTTAGTACAATTTTTCTTTTTCTGTGGAAGCCCATTTCTGCCACTCTGATAAAAAATGATCTCATTATGACTTAGCTAAGTCTAATGATGAGATAGTAGCTCATTATTAAGAGATAACCAAGTTATAATTATGAGATAAATCAGAGTGGCAGGAATGGGGTTCCATACTTTTTATATATGTCCATTTTATATATATTTTCTGATCAGTGCTAAACTGTGAAAAACTACATTTAATAGACAACAAAAATGAAAAACATCTATTTACGTACTGCTTTTTATTCTTTCCTATTTGAATTTCTTAAGGTGCATTTTAAATATTGTCACATTTTTGGCACATTCTGAACCTCATAAATATTTACATGTGACATTCATAAAAATTCCTAAAAAGCTCACTCATTCATTTCTCAAGCCATCCATGTAGTTGGCATGTGTGTTACCGTGCATTCTGGGGCATGTGCCCTAACCACCCCCACCCCCCCCACCCACACTCACACCCTTTTCTCACCTCTGTGGGCATCTTGTTCATATTTTCAACACACGTGGGGGTGGGGTGTGGAAATGGGAAGTTTCCGGGGATGTGGTTAGCACCTATTTTCAAAGCATGGCGTTAAACCACAGGAATGTTTAGGAGGACTCTTTAGCTGCACTTGACAGCCACCGCCGCTAACTAGCTAAGTTATCATGCTTTAAAATGAACACAAAACCCAAACAGTATCATTTTTAAATCTAAAAATAGAACGTGCACACATCCATCTGCACCTCACCTTTGAATTCCCCCATAAATGCACCAACATAAACGCACATAAATACATTCAAACATGGTTTTATGGGTTCCCACTTGTGTTTGTTTAGCTTTAGCTGCAGGCTAAAGGGTTAGCCATTTCTGAGACTCTGGGGTACAAGCAGGATAAAGATTACATGCGTCATTTTATTGAGAGGCAGTAGCACAAAGAATCATGAAGTATTATGGGCTGACACGTTTTACACGAGTTCCACTGACCGACTAATGCTCCAAGGCTGCTCAATTCGTTTAAGATGACACAGAACTAATTAGGTGAATGTCTCAGAGGTTAATCTATTTTTCTTTTTTAAATTTAAGCACTTTCTTAACACACTTTTGCATGAGCAGCTGTAATGATGTGAAGTGTCTCTCCTGTTTACTCTCTTCATGTTTGAGGTTTTTCTGCACATTTGTTGACATAAAAAAGCAAAGAGGATTTTGTCATACTTAACCACCTAGAGGGTTGTCTTTAAACCCAGAGGTTAGGCTGATTAATTGATGCTGATATAGATTAATTAGCCGTAGCGACACTTTGATCCAGCGAATTACCTCCATATGCGCGGTCCGCTCCTCAGCACCTCACGTTTATGGGATCTGTGAGTAAAAAGACACCACAAGCAGGGATTACAACCTTTAACAAGCCAAATGCCTCCCACTTTCCTCACTCCGCCCTTCAAAGCATTTAGGTAAAACTGCAGATACAAGTAAAAGCACAAAAATATTTTATTTTGAGTACTGTTTTTAAATGTTGGCTGTAAAGTGGATTTGTTTTAGCTGGAGAATTCATTTAGAGCATTTCACTTGAAAATGTCTTCCTTGTGTTTTTCCAGCATTTATCCCAGGTCAGGGTGTGGAAGTAGAAGGTGCTAGGAGACAAGATCAGGCATGCTGGTGTTCCCAGGCCAGAGATGAGGAAATTTTGGGATTCCTCCAGATGAAAATAACTACTTCAGATGACTCTTTTTGATGAGGAAGAGCAGCATCTTTATTCTGAACTCTTCTCCAAGGTCGTGTACACATAGCCGGGTTTTTGTCCGTCCATTTTTGGCCACTTATCCGGGGTCGGGTCGCAGAGACAGTAGCCTAGGCAGTTTTTGTGAAACAGAATATCTTCCCCTGCCAATTTACAAAAAAATAAAAAATACATGGGTACACACCACCTTGTTTTCAGCAAAAGTGCATTCATAAGCATGCCAAGACTGTAGGGGGCAGTAGTTTCCCAAATCGGCAAGGGTGTTTGCTGAAAACATTCTTCCACATGGAATAGCTGGTGGTGGACTATAAAGAAATCTTGGTTGAACATCGGTTTGGCTCAAAACTCATGGCATGAATCTGGCCTAGCGATGACGGAGCGATGACGGGGACAATGGCTTCCCGAAATAGAGTGGAGTCTGTGGCAGTCGGAGGTTTTTGAAATACTCATTTTTGTTAGCGTTTATTTTCACTTTCGTGTGGATGACAGACTAAATCATGGGAAAATATCTTGGTTTTGTGGGGTACCCGGCTACGTGTGGACAGGGTGTCCTACAGAGGAAGCTCTTTTCAGACGTTCACATCTTGGATCTGATTCCTTCGGTCATCAAGTCTATGTGAAGATTGGAGTTCACCCCACTCCTGTCCAAAATACTTTATCTCATCCAGGTTCAGTTGGAGGTTTTTCCTGTTAAAGGGAAGTTTTCCTCTCCACTGTCGCCGCATGCTTGCTGGGTTTGGGGATTGCTGTAGAGTTTCTGACACAACAAGTCAGTGACTCGATGCAGTCTGCTGGGTTTTCTTACATAGGAAACTTTTAACTAATTGACGTAATGAACTGAACTCAATTGGACTGTTTACTTTGTAAAAAGGCTTGAGACACGCTTTGTGATTTGGCGCTTTATAAATAATTGAATTGAAACTGAATGGAATGTTGTTTGAATTTGCATAACTTGTGAACTCTGGCTTCATCTATGCTAAATAAATAATCGCTTCATATAGTGTTTTTTATTTTATTTTGGTGGCATTAATTGAATTTTAAGACCTTTAAGGACTGGCCGTTTCTGTTTTCATGGATTACTGAGGCACAACACCCTAAGAGCACATACAATCAAAACAGAAGTCTCTCTCTCGAAGAGGGATCTCCACTCACTGGCATCGTCAAAAAGAAAAATCAATATGGCTGCTTATTTGGAGTTTGAGTGAATCGGGGTAGAGGGGGAACCCTGACAAGAACCTGAGGCTAAGCCCTCCAAGTCACATGTGGTTTGTCAAGCTTTGTCAGAGGACAAAAAGCGAGACTGTGAGGGAGGACGAGATTGAAGGTGTGTAACTCCCCCCTCTTTTCCTCCCTGCTGCTGGTGTGTGTGTGTGTGTGTGTGTGTGTGTGTGTGTGTGTGTGTGTGTGTGTGTGTGTGTGTGTGTGTGTGTCTACAACATGTGTGTGTGTGTGTGTGTGTGTGTGTGTGTGTGTGTGTGTGTGTGTGTGTGTGTGTGTGTGTGTCTACAACATAAGGGTTAGAGCACTGAGGTTGAGTGGGGAGACATAGCTGCCGGGGTCTCCATGGCGATGATGCTAGTTAGCTACCTAGCACTCAGGGGCCCTGGAGAAAAGTGACAATACAAGGAACTTAGCAGCAGCCGTGGCTCAGCAGCCGCACTGCATTAATGAGATTTTTCACACTTATTATACACACACACTCCCAGAAAGTGCCATAGCAGCAGCAGCAGCAGCAGCCGATTGATATGTGCTCATTGTGCTCTTGGGCAGGCTTGCTTTTCTGTGTGTCTGTGTGCGCGTGTGCGTGTGTGCGTGCGTGCGTGCGTGAGTGTGTGTGTGTGTGTGTGTGTCTGTGTGCGCGTGTGCGCGTGTGCGTGCGTGCGTGCGTGCGTGCGTGTGTGTGTGTGTGTGTGTGTGTGTGTGTGTGTGTGATGACAAAATCAGGAGCAGCCAGCCACTGTTTATGAGTCGACGCTAAATGAAATGCACACAAACACAAATAAATCAAATGTTCCCGTCATCGTCTCTCTCAAGCGTGTGACACACACACCAACTTCAACGTGGAGATAAACAAACAAAAGCAAAATTATACAGCTGGACTCCAGGCGGCTATTCTGATGCTTGAACTTATTGTGCTGCTTCAGCTCCACTCCAACGTGACCGTGGAGTAAATTCTTCTTTCCTTTTTTCTCATTTCTCTGACTCGGATATGGAAACGTGCAAAGCTTCAGGAGCTGCCAAACCAATCAGATGACCATTGAAGGGAGTAATACTCTCATGCAACTGTCGTCCATTTGTCAGAGCACAAAACCAATAAATAGCTCATTTAGAAAATTTTAACTATATTGTTTATTTGCCCCCAAATAACAAAAAAAAATTCAATCACCATTTTTCTTAAAGTACTTTATTGTCTTGATATTAAAGGGTACAAGTGTTTTAAAAGTTTTTAGTACCCTTTGGTTTTTCAGGTGTCACATGATCTAAAATTGGAATAAAAAATAAGTACAATAAAAAATAGGGGGGGAGAGTTCACACTCATGAGCCTCACTTCTTAAGTCTATTAATAATAATAATAATATAATAATAATAATAATGCAATGAACTTAGATAGCGCTTTTTAGGACACTCAAAGAAATTTTCACACACTCTCACATTCGCACACTGCCAGTGATGGTAAGCTACTTTGTCAGACCACCCCAGAGCGGCTGTGGCTACAGAGTCGAGGCTGCCATTTGGCGCCGTCGGCCCCTCTGACCACCACCAACATAGGCAAGTTGGGTGAAGTGTCTTGCCCAAGGACACAACAACAGAATACCCCAGGCAGGAGCTGGAATCGAACCCACGACCCTCCGATCATGAGGCAACCCGCTCTACCACCTAAGCTACTGCTGCTCCTCCCCAAAGGTTCTGGAGGGGAGGATCCACTGGAAAGTTGTCCAGGCCATCATGGAACTGGGTCAGCTATGTACCCTTACCAGGCTCTAGTAGGGTGCGTTCGACCATGTTCCTCAGGGACACCTGAGGGGGGTTCTCCACGTGTGTGGGGTACCAGGCCCCTTGATACAGGCTGTTGAGTCCCTGAAAAATCGATGGTCTGCATTGCCGGTCAGTAAGTCGGGCTCATTCCCAGTGAGAGTTGGACTCTGCCCAGGCCCCCGTCTGTAACTGATCTGTTTTGAGAGGCACAGCCAAGGTGTCGAGGGGATCTGTTTTGGTGGCCTGAGGATCGGGTCTCTGCTTTTTGCAGATGATGTGGTCCTGTTGACTTCATCAGAACGTGATCTCCAGCTTTTGCTGGAGCGGTTCGCAGCAGAGTGTGAAGCAGCTGGGATGAGAATCGGCTCTTCTAAACTCAAGACCATGGCCTTGAGTTAGAAAAGGGTAGAATCCTTTCACGGAGTCAGGGACGAGGTCCCGCCCCAAGTGAACTATCTCAGGGTCGTGTCCACGTATTGATGCTGCAGTGATGCGGGTGTTGTACCAGTCTGTCAAGGTGAGCTGGAAGGTGCAGCTCCTGGTTTACTGGTCGACCTACGTTCTTACCATCACCTATGGTCACGAGCCATTATATCAGAAAATGGCGTGATTAGGCAAGAATTCCTTTTCCAAGCTTTATTCAAGCCTGCGTCACATGTAGCAATATCAGGCATCCATCTGAACTCCTCTCACACTTTTTCACTCTCTTACCAACTGCTCTTATCCTATACTCCCCCTTAGTGGTAGACGCAACAACAAGTTTTGGGTACTGACCAAAAGAATGAGATCGTGGATACAAGCGGCCAAAACGAGTTGTCTCTGCAGGGTGTCTGGGCTCTCCCTTAGAGACAGGGTGAGAAGCTCGGTAATCCGGGAGGGGCTGGGAGTAGATCTGCTGCTCCTCCACGTTGAGAGGAGCCAGTAGAGGTGGCTCGGGCATCTAGTTAGGATGCCTTCTGGACACCTCCCTGGTGAGCTTTCCCGGGCACGCCCAACCGAGAGGAGACCTAAAAGAAGACTCAGGAAACGTTTGAGGGACTGTCTCTTGGCTGGCCAGGGAACGCCTGGGGAGAAGGAAGTCAGGGCCTCTCTGCTTAGGCTTCTTCCCCCGTGACCCGACCCCGAATAAGTGGAGGAAAACGGATAGATGAAACCTCAATAAATGCAAAGTTAAGCTTTTTTCTTTCATGGGGTAAAATAAAGAAATTGTATGATCTAAGTTAGTTGATGTGAGTCATGATTCATTTAGATAATCCTCTTCTGTTTCATGCCTGTCTCAGGACAAATAGATGCTAAGTTATCCCCAATGAAAATGCATTTAGGACCAGACACTTTAGGTCAAACACGGCTCTCTAGGATAAATAAAATATACAAATAACAATCTGTTTTTGACCTCCCACCCAAACTCTGTCCATCATAGTGGGTAAATAGAAAAATGTGTTTTTCAATTTTAATTTCTCGTCGTTTTATGATTGTTGCCCCTTTGACGGACTGCAGGCTCCTTTTCACTTGGTTGATGCGGCCTTTGAGAGTGGCAAAGGGCAGGGGCCAGAGGGCAAAGGGCGTGCTCCTATCACCATGGTAAAAAGTTCTCAGGAGGTGCATTCCCACCAGGATAACCCGACATGATTCCTCAAGTAGAGTATGCATGCAGAGTCCGCCTACTAATGTTTTTAGCGTGTTGTATATATTATTTAATAATCTGTGGTTTCAATCTTTATTTAAAGTGTAATTGGAAAATTCTAAAATAAAGATGTTGAAACTGCTTTTTCTAGTTAATGTATCCAACTAAACTTTCACGTTTTAGTACAGACTCCCTTTTCATAATATTACAAAGAAAAATCTGAAAGATTTTCTGAAAAAAAGTTATCTTAAAGCGATTTTCTTTATTTTTTTCATGTTTCTGTAAGGAAACAGTTGTATTTTACTGTAGTGTGTGCGTGTGTGCGTGTGTCTCAGTTAGGACTGTGTTTACAGCCCGTGTTTGTGTGCCTGCGTCTGCATGTCTCACCTCTTCAACCTGCTCCGCTGAGAGGTGAACAGATGGACACGGTTGGAGGGGGAGGAAGAGTAGGAGGAGGAGGAGGAGGAAGTCTAGCGAGGCAGCGAGAAACAAAGGAGACCAGGACAGACTTTTATGTCTTGTCTCTCTCTTTCCACGCTGAGGTGGATACTTGTCGGACTAACAGGTGACACTGAGGTGTCTTTGGGTGATGGTTGGGTAGCAACGTGGGTAACAAGGGTGACACTGTACTTGTGAAGAGACGTGGACAAGAGGAGGCCTGTGAAGCAGCAAAGATCATGAAATCAGTTTTTTTTAAAGTCAAGTAAGATGGCCACTGCAGCTAATTAGCATTTATAAACACAAAAATTATTTCAAACAAGTCCAATCAGATATTAAACCCAAATCTGGTATTAAAATAACCAAAAATTCTTCCTGACATGTACTCTGAGCACAAAGCCACATAATTCTGTTAAAAGTGACATGTTATGTTTTGGTCTATACCAGGTACCTTGCACAAACTCTGGACAGTTTCAATACCTGCCAAAATGAGGCGTTTCAGAACTCTGCCACTTTAAGAGAACAAGCTGAAGCTGGCCACATCTACCTATCCTCCACCTAGGCTGCCATAAGCTGAGAAGCTTCGATATCTGGGAGGGGCTTGAAGTAGAGTTGCTGCTTCTGCAGCTGCTCTCCTCTAGGTGAGGGGGGAATTAGAGGTGCTCTGTGCTATTTTATCCATTTGTGATGTCACAAAAGGGGACTTTTTAAAATGGCTTGTTTTAGGCACATAATTCCTAAAACCAAACACTGATTAAAAACAGGTGGATTTTTTTTTTCATGTTTGGAGTGTTTATAGAGGCAGTAGGGACCAACATGGCAGCACAAAAGGTGAGTTCTGCATATTATGTCCCCTTCACACTAAACCCTGTTAGCCAGCAGGTAAAATGCAAAACAAAAGTGTACTTCAAGTCAAGGTGCATATTGTAAACAAATATAATAATAACCTGCATAAAAATATAATAAAAAAGCTACAATCAAGAACCACTAGAGGAATTTTATTGAAGCTGATCTAATTAAACATGGCTGCCGCTTCACGTATGTAGAAAATCTCAGTGGGTGAATTAAGACTTGTTTAACAGCCACAAAAACATTTAATCACATACTCAAATTATCCAAACATGGATGGGTCACCAGTTCACTTCGGACAAGTTTGCATGGACAAGCCATTGTTAGCCTAAAACCAACATTTCAATTCTTATAGCACCTGATGCTGCGGTTTTAATTTAAAGCTTTACGCCACCATCTTTTCCTTACGTCGGTATTTAGGGAGGAATACTTTATTCTTGTCAGAATTTCTCCTAGATTGTCCAAATTATCCCTTTAAATATTGACACTTTCGTTTTTATTTTACTGCCTGCACGCCGCATTTCCTTAATCCCACAAACATGCAGATGCAATATCTCTCTGGAGAGCAGAGTCCTGGAGGAGCTACAGATTCAGCTTTGCTCTCTAGGTCTTAAGTCATCTGTAGGCCAGGCAAATTGAATAAATGCATGAAGCATGTGGTATCAGGGAAGATAATATTTCCTTGTAATTGACGGCGTCTGTGCAGTCTGAAGCATGTTCCCTTTTTGCCTTCCTCTTAAAATTTCCACTGTGGAACACGTATAGCAGGTTCACGATGAAGATTCTCAGCTTTATCTTGGTTTTTTGACTTCATTTTGATGAATATGGGGAAAGAAAATTGTGCATTTGCCCACCAGCGTGTGTAAAATAATGTTTTATTTGGTCTGCATGTCTCTGGTTTGATAAACAGATAAATGCACCCAGAAAGCCTGTAAATGCATTTGATGTCTGTTTCCTTTTTTATCCTGTGACTGTCAGTTCTGTTTTCCAACAACAGTTCCTTCAACTTACACAGGAATTAGATGTACTTTCTCCTGGCAGCTTTGGCTTTTCATCATCACAAACAGGGCAGCCAGATCACATCTGACAAGTGCAGCCTGGGTAATCTACAGCCAGATCAATCTTTTAACAGCCTTAATGTCTGGATATGACAAGGTATAAATCTGAAGGTAAATACTCGGAGCCGGGAGGTCAACAGCAGGACGTCTGGGGGCACTGAAGTAAAACGGCTATAGGAAGTTGGTGTCTTAATCGCTAAAATGTGAGCCAGTTTCCAGATTTTCTCAGAAAATTGAGGATTCTCGAGTTCAAAAGACAGAAAGCAGGTCAGGATCCTTCTTCAGTTCATGCGTGAGAGTGGTCAGTGACCAGATTACAAATGAAATCGGCATATTTAAATGTGCTTTATGTAAGAATTAAGAAAGAGTGACATCCTGTGGTCAAATTTCAGTACTGCAGCCCCTTTTCCAAACACACGGGTGACTTTTGCCCAGCCCCACTACTCGCAGTGCACCCTGCAGCCTTCAGCAAAGTGCACTTGGAGGAAGTGTGCAGTAAGGCTTCGAGTGTGTAGTACACAAGTGTGCAAATAATTGCCCAATTGGGACAGTGACCGTTGCATCATCGACCACGACGCATGCTGGGATGCCGGTCGCTGTTTGTGCTACTTTGTTTTTTTATTATTTTAATATCTTTATTAACTCATTCACTGCCAGCTGTTTACTGATCAGAAGAGCCCCCGACTGCCAGCGTTTTTGAGGGTTTTATTGTTTTTTGAAGAGTCACAGAACATTGTGCTCATGTAAACTCCAAAACTACATAAAGAAAGAGTAGACTCACTCACATCAGGAAGAATCAGCGTGTTTCTAGCGTTGTCCGTTCATTCATAATCCGTAGACTAACTGTGAGCTGCAGAAGCTTTTCCGGTTAGCTCCTCGCTTTTTTCACAGCAGCGGCTTTTCATAGAATCAAACCTAGCTGCAGTATTTGTGCAATAAAACACATTTGTTTCAAAAAGTGGTTTAATAAGTGACATTAGTCATAAAAAATTACCTAAAGTCTTGCAAGACCCAAGAGAGCCTTTATACTAAGGCAGGTGATGACAAAATGGTGACAGCTGAGCTGATTACCAATGAAAGCCAGGTGGGGAGCTGAGGGGGCAAACAAAACGGAAACAAAATCATCTCAGATCATGACAAATGCAGACAAATCTTTGTCTTTGTATCTTTGCATTTAATTATCATGTTTTTCATCATTTATTTTGTACTTTCAGGTTGGCTCAATTACCCTGAGGACGTTGAAGCAGGATATGTAATATATTTTTGACTCAGACGACTGAATTAAAATGCGGTAAGTGGTGATAATATCATAATTAGGTAGGAGTGGTTAGAGTATCACAGCGTGCGTTCCCCACCAGTGGAAACTAAATGTGTGACAAATTCTCCAAATCAGAGGAAACTGATATTGTAAAGAGAAATCTGATTTGCACGCTCGGCTGAATAAATGGAGATTATAACAGGAGGCAGACAAGCAACACGTCTGTTCACACTCAGTCCAGTCATGCTTTCTGAACATGAGCTTCATAGAATTATTTCATTACCCTAAGATGTAGATGTTACTAGATACAGCCAGCAGACAAAGACTGATTGAGCACATTCTTCTTACAGCTTTTATTATTCCGTGTTAATAAGAGACGTGCACATGTTTTTAATATTACATGCATAGATAAAAGCTTGTATGTGCATGAAAAATCTCCAACGGAAATTAAGTGCATGTGTATTTTTGCAGGAAAAGTTAAATTACCTTTCAATTTTTTTGACAAATTGGTGCAAAGAATTGCTCCGTAATTTGCAGATTTGTTTTTAGGACTAGGATCTCAGACCCCTGCAGACCAGGGAACTAACTCAGAGCTGCTATTTTGGCACAAAATTGTGCTTATTTCCTGCTTGTGATCTACATAAAAATGCACTTCTACCTTTTTCAATACAGGAAGTCTTGTCTTTCTGTGGTTTTGCATGCAGCGTACGCGGCTGCACGATCATTTAGCGTCTGTGTAAAAAAGCTGTTGCAAAAATCACACGCGTGTTCAAGGTGTGGCTGAGAATCGACTGTGGTTTGACATATATTCTCTTTCACACACACACACACACACACACACACACACACACACACACACACACACTCACAGGATGCAAAGCTGCGGTCTGTGGAAGACGAATCTGTTTACATGCAGTTTACAAGTTGTTGAGAAACATGTCTGAAGCAGACGAAGTGAGAAGCCTTAGGAGGAAAACACACCTCTCCACTGACGGTAATTTTCTGTGAACAAGTCAAAACCTCTTTTAAATACTTTATTAAACACATCACTACAAAGTTTAGCTGTTTGAAAGCAATAATTATGCATAATAATTAACTTTCAGCAGTTACATAATTGCAAAATGTTGATTAAAATGAATATTTGCAGAATTGTGCATTAATTCTCTAATGTTTTCATTTCAATCATTATTGAAGATGATTTTTTTTAATCAGGTGTGTGTACAAGTCAAAACTGATTAAATAAAAAGAAACAGCACAGAAATTCAAGAAAATGAACTTTATGATGCAGTATAATTTGTCAGAAACCTACAGAACATTTAAGCTGAATACGAAGGTCTTTTAATATAGTTTTTTAAGAGAAAAAGCCTTGATGAGAGTTTGACATCCAGTAACAGCGGTTCGGTGTCACCGAAAGTGACAGTCAGGGACAACCGTTACGCGGAGCTTAAAGGGACGAAGCAAAGGACGATTATGGTTTTTCTTCCTACAGATGATGCTGCCTTTAGTTCTCGAAACCCTTAAAAGTTCCTCAGCCCCGTGGCCGGAATACCAACTGCAACTTCAGAGTCTTCAGAACGCTGCCCTGTAGTCAGAAGCAGAACTGCCTTACGGCAATCCATGTGTACACCTCATAATAGACGAGATTTACCTGGTTAGCATTTATTGTGACCTTGTTCATCAAGGTGGAACCTCAGAAGAAACATTTATCTCATAAAGCTAAAACAAGAAAAAGAACGCCCGACCACAAAAGGGGTCGAACTAGAGTCAACATCAGGAGTTTTCAGAAGACACAAGAGCTCAGATTCATATTGGATCAGACCTACTGCTCTTGTGAGTACAACTTCATTGTGTTTTGTTTGCACGTTTTTACTTTTCCTGAGTTTGTAAAGATTTCTAAATATGTTTGTGAAGCAGTAGTGATCACGTCCGTTCCGTCACCCAAAGACCCGCATAAGCTCTCTTCTTACCGGGCAAACGCCCAGTTATTGATGCTTTCTCATCTCAATCCAAGCTCCTTGTATCTTCACACACCATCCAGTCCTCAGCGAGCCACGCGGACCCCGGTAGCTGCTGAGTAGTGCTACCGGCTGGCGCCACCGGCTGCGGTCCTGTCGGCTAGCTGCTCAGAACTCGTGGAGTATCTTTCGTTTCTATGAATCCCAGGCATAGGGTTTGCCAAAACGCTACAGCCTTTCCCCGTGGTCACATGACTTTTCCTCTCAGGAGGCATATTATTTTCCATGAACTCTGTAGCTAGCCAACATGCAAGCTCTGGAGTCCGCTTCCAGCATGCTTCCTGCATGTTTTAGATTGTGAACACAAATGATGTGTTTGATTTAGGGATTAACCGCTCCTGTAGACACTAATGAAAGCTGAGGAAACATTTCAGCAGTTAGATTAAGGTGTTAAAAACACAAAGGCACAGCGAGAAGGAGAGTTTCTGTTTTGTTTTTATGACCATAAATTAAAACGGTCTTTAGTGGGTGCTAAAAGCAAGCCAAAACTACAGAGTGTTCCTTTAAACAGAATATGTACATTTTTCAACACCTTGCTGTGTTGAGCCTTAAACATATCCTCTGGATTACACTGTAAAATCTGATTAGCTCCACTTACGTGAAAAAAGCATGCAAACAGGCAAGTACACCACACTAGGTAAGTTGTGTGTTGGGGCTACTAATACTTACAAAGTAAAATGAACTTAAGTTACTTTAACTAACACAAACTGTTATAAAGTACTTAGAGATGTGCTTACTAAACTAGTATTTTTGAGTTGTATGTACTAAAGCATTAGTAAATGGTAAGCAACATTTTAAGTAATTTGTACTGGTTTGTCTAAGTCAGGGGTGTCAAACTCAAACTCACACGGGGCCGAAATGAAACTCTGGGACGGAGTCGAGGGCCAAACTTAATATTTTTTGAAAAAGTGACGGCAAATTTGCACATTTTCTTTATCAACATGTATGCAATTTTGAACCTTTAAAGTTGGAAACAAACATATTTCTGCATTAACACTGAATGTGGAATAACCAAATTACACACGAGCAAGTCAGTTTTAAATAAAAGGCATCAGTGGTATTCATTACTTGTGGTATTAACAGCATTTTTTTAATCTATTCAGGATTTATGTTTTCTTGTTTATTCATTTTTCTTATTTTTTATTCTCCTTTTTTTCTCCTGTAATACGTGTCATCGCTGCTGTGACATCTAGCTTTCCCCACTGAGGAACAGTAAAGGGATTTTCTATTCATCTATCTGCAGCCTTTCTATTTCCTGTTTACTGTAGGTTAAATCTTTTCTCACTGGCCAAAAACAAAATAAAATATCATTTTATCTTAAATGAAAATGCAACATCTCACCTGTTAACTTTCATGTTTTGGAGCAGAAAAAGAGCATAAAACCTAAACATTTAAAGCTCAGTTTGCTCCACTGGTTTACTGTGATGCTCACCTGTTCCAGCCAGATACCTGCATCATGGGGTTGATCTGAGCTGAGGAGGAGACTCCTGTTGTTTTGTTCATCTTCATCATAATAATGACAACATTAGATGACAACAGCTGCTCACATAGGTTTGTGCTGATGAACATGTCTGAGCAGCTTGACCACGTTGTTGTGTGTCGGGGAGGAAACATAACCACAGAGCCGTGCTGGTTTGAGCGTGTCGCTGCTCGCTGGAGGTATATCAGCTCTGTCTGGACGTTAGTTGGAAAACTTTCTTTCAGTCGTGAACACGTTACTGAGCAGCTAGAATCTCCGTTTCTGGGCTTCAACGTCAGAAAATAGCTGAGTGAACTCGGCGCTGAGTGAGAGGAGTGTAGTTTGCCGAGACAGCGGAGCTGCAGACACCGGCAGCAGGCGCTGGGAAAAACACAAAGGAGGGGGCGAGCCGGCTCCGCGCTGCCGCCGCAAAGCATCATGGGAGTTGAAGTCTTTGCGGTAAAATCGGCCAGCGGGCCAGTTTTAATATATTTTTGATATTTATCTCGCGGGCCACATAAAAATGCTCCATGGGCCGCATCTGTCCCGCGGGCCTTGACTCTGACATATGTGGTCTAAGTTATAGTAGCTTACATTTAGGTGCATTGTACATTGTGTTAGTAATTCAGTTAAATTCAAATTCAATTCAAATTCAATTCAATTCAAATTCAGTTCAAAGATACTTTATTAATCCCAGAGGGAAATTACAGTTTCAGTACACACAATTCTGAGATCAGACATACATACATAGGCATAGACCTATAATTAACACATAATTACCTTGTGCCATATTCTTATGATTATAAGAGTACATATTTTACATTATTGTCCTTTTTCTGAAAAATAACTTGAGAAAATATAATTATATAAATTCCTACCAACACAGAGTTCAATAAAACACATACTTCATAGGCTTTATAGATAAATAGACAGTAAAATGCCTTATGAAAGGATGATATATAACTCTGTACACTTCTTTTATAAAGCAAAGAATTTCCTCAGTTTTGAGAATGGCTCTTGAACTTTTTTAGTTTCAATTTTTGTGAAAATTAAATTTTTATTTTCAAAAATGCCTCTCTGTAAATTATTTCAGGCTGTAAATCTGGGCACCTACATAATTTACAGAATTCCAAAATGATTTCCCAAGTCTGTTTTAAGTCTGATGGTCATAAAATCACATAATTGTTTTATATTTACCACGTTTAGTCCGGCCACACTAACCCTCTTATTATTATACAGATTTATTGAGAAAGGCCAATGAAATTTGTTTTAGCACTTTTCAAACTGTTATCATTCAGCAATAGAAATATGAGTGTTTTAATAGCGCGCATTAAACAGCTAATTAAGCATAATGTGCTCAGATTTTATTTCCATTGAAAGTGATAGTGACACGTGACGGCATAAGCCCACACACCATTAAACTGAGTCGGTGAATTAATTTTAATGCACACACGTACACCAGTGTGTGTGTGTGTGTGTGTGTGTGTGTGTGTGTGTGTGTGTGTGTGTGTGTGTGTGTGTGTGTGTGTGTGTGTGTGTGTGTGTGTGTGTGTGTGTGTGTGTGTGTGTGTGTGTGTGTGTGTGTGGACTCGAGTCTTTGGAGGACATATTTAGATGATGCACGAGGGTCAAGAGATATGTTTGCTTGTATGGTGCTCTCTGTGTGTCTCATGGTTTTAAAAGAGCGCACACACTTGGCGAATTGCTGCTATTCTCAGATTGGCCTGGCAATCACTGTGATTAGCAACTCATTTCATCATCATTTTATACCACACACAGCATATTCCAAACACAATTACTAAGAATTGCAAACACAGAGACATCTATTTCTAGAGTGCAACGTCAAAATCAAACTCAAGAGTCAGCAGGAGGGTTTTGCCCGATCATTAACGTGTTTTTCCAACCATACATGTAAGAACAAACCATGTTTCTTGTGACTTTGACAAAATAATTTTATATATTTTTTCTTTCTGAAAACTTAAACAAAAATTCACTTTGTTGTACTCAGATTAATGACGCTCCCTTTTTGAATGTAGTCATAGCTATTTATTTAATAGAATAGAATAAACTTTTATTATCCCATGAATGAGAATTGTGAGCATTACACAGCTTTTATAGCAAAAGGAAAATAGAAAAATATCTCTTTGTACATAGCAATCGATTAAACAAAATTTGTATGTAAAGAAAACATAAAATTTTAATTATTTCTCTTGACAAAGCAGAAATGGTTGTTAGTTTACCAATCAAATGACTTTACATCAATATTTAAATTGAAAAAGATTTTATTTGTGTTGTGATACAATGTATCCTATGTTTTTCTCATCTGATTTCTTAATAACTTCACTGAGAAATGTATAATTTTGGTTATTTTTGAAACATACATGCTGAACCAGAAAATTAATTCCTGCATTAGCTGCCGAAAGAAAACAATAAACGGAAAAAGGGTCGGGTCAGAAAAAGCCACACAGATCTACATTACACTGAAATTTGAACTCATGGCCCCGCCTTCTTTGGCATTCAACCGCGGGACGCTGTTTTGATTTGACAGCCAGAAGAGAGCATACCACGTCTCTGCTGGTAGAAGCTAACCGTTAGCATTATTTCCTTCTGAACATGATGAAAAACATTCAGGCTTGCGTTATTTGTGGAGATAAAACATTTTCTTTTACCCAAGAAAGAAGAGTGAACAAGGCAGAGGAAGACTTGTGTTGCCGTTAGCCAATCAGAGTCGAGAGGCTCTCATATCATTAATATAAATGAGTAAAAGTCCAAATCCTATTGTTTTCCATCCTGTCACTTCTCCAGTGAACTTCTAACTCCTAAAACAGAAGTGCCAGACCTGTTATTCATGGAATATTACTCCCAAGGCATTCATTCATACTAGAGATTGCAGAAAATCTATTGAAACAACAAGTGCATGACTCCTTTAAGGCCCAGTGAACAATTCTAAAGTTGGTGTTTAGTGATGCTACATCAGTCATAACTGAGAACCTACTGAGAACCTGTGAACTGAGTGTTTACCCTCAAAGACTGCTTTGACCAAACTCTGGACCCCACAATAACAGGAAGTCCTCGTAAACCCAGCGTCCCACCAGGTACTTGGTCCTGTGATGTCACGTAAACAAATGTACAAATGCACACACACACAAAACTAAAAAAAAAAGAAAAGAAACGAATGTTGAACACACTCTCCTCCACCTTCACCTCTGCAGTCTGCCATCCATCAGAACGCCACATGGGAGGGAAGCAGGGGAAGGACAAAAAGAAAAAGGCCAGAGAGACGAGAAAGAAAACCAGAAGTGTGACACAAAGAGGGGTGTGAGCGAGCAACCACGTCTATCTTTTTACCTTGAGCTGGGCCTCTTAATCCTCCCCATGAACACACACACATGCATGCTCTCTCTCTCTCTTTCTCTCTCCCTCTCTCTCTCTCTCTCTCTCTCTCACACACACACACACACACACACACACACACACACACACACACACACACACACACACACACACACACACACACACACACACAGAATGAGATATGTGAAACCAGAAAGCCTAAAAGGTAACCACTTCCTCAAAGGGCAGCTCTGGTGTGTGCACATGTGGAGAGGTGCAACAGAAGCTTCACAAAGTCTTGTTCATGTGTGGAAGTGCAGGAGGCCTCCGTGCTCATGCAAACTCAAAGAAAACCGGGTGAAGTTCAAGTCTGCAGGCAGATTCCAGTAATTAATATTTTACGGCCAAATTTTTGTGTAATCTATTGGTTTAAATGTCACAAACAATCTGAAGAATTCACATGGGTAAGACATTTTTATTTCACTGCTGCAGTTGTTAAAAAGGTCAAATTAGTTGCTATTTATTCCTTCACCCTCTCATGCTCAAAATAAGTTTTGATGAAAGGATGAACAACCAAGTCCTTCAGGGGTACTTCTGAGTTAAAAAATGCTTATGAAATACGTATGTGGATTAACCAGGTAGGTAGGTTTTAACGTTGCAAATCTGCAACGCCTGCCTCCAGAGGGCTAAAAAGACGTTAGATTTTAGCTATATGATGAGTTATAAAGGCTGAATTTCTGTCAGCTTTATAACTTGCTGTCTACCTGCTAATTGGAAACCATGTCTGCTGGCTGTCTGCTGCATATTTTTGGGATTTTTCATGTTTCAGTAGAGGCCTTCTGTTGCTAAAGAGCAGTAAGAGGAGAAAAGCTGAGCCAAAACCCTCTGCCATAAAGTAAAACAATGAGCTGAAAGTGGATTTAAAGTTCTGTAAATCAAAATGTTTCCTGCAAAGGTGTTTCTCTTGCCAGTTTTCACATTTACCTTCACCTAAATTGTCATTTAGTCATTTCATATTAAAAAAACTACTTTTGCCTTTTGGTTTAATGCCAGCTAGTCTACATTTGGCACTGATTCAAACACAAGGCATACTAAATGTCAAATGTTGCAGGTCTGAGATGACTCAGAGCTTCTGTCTGCTCTGATGTTCAGCAGGGGCCTCCAGCAGTTTCCTTCTTAACAAAAATAGAGTATTACAAAAGGTTTGTGTTTAGTCTGTGTGATATGTACGTGTTGTGTAAATGAGAGGATGAGAAAATAAAAATTTTTATTTCTAAGGAGCACTAATATTAAAACTAAAAATGTAAAATTTAACTACTTTACGCATTTTTACAAAATTTTATATCAGTATTTATCACTTAACATATCTAGTAATAAATAAAATATGAAAATAGAATTAAATCTAAATATTTAGAATCAAATCTTAACATTTTGACAGACATATCTGGAGTTATATCTAAAAATTTAAATAAAATCTAAATATATAAAGTCTTCTAAAAGTATTTAAACTCTAATCTAAATATTTACAGTAACATTTACAAAAAAGTAAATCTAAATATTTTCATTCAAATCTAAACTTTTTGAACAAAAAATATTTGTAATAGTAAAATATTTAGAAATGTTTTACTATTCTATTTAAATTTACAAAGACAAATCTAAATATTTTGAATTAAACTAATATTTTTTGAGTGATACATAAATATAAGGTATTAAATAAAAAAATTAATAAAATGTTAATATTTAGAAAAAAATTTGAATCTATGAAGTAAATAAAGTATTTAGACTCAAATTTAAATATTTACAATAAAATCTAAGTATCTTAATTGACATATAAATATAAGGTGTCATATTTATCTATCCTAATTTTTAGAATAAAAGTTTAATATACAAAGTTCAATCAAAGTGTTTATACTCAAATCCAAATATTCACAACAATAATGAAATAGACAATGGTCAATCCAAATAATTGTAATCTAAATATTTTATTGATATATAAATATAAGATGCTACATCTAACATTTTTAAATCAAATCTTAATATTTAGAATAAAAATTGAATATGTAAATTTTGATCTAATTATTTAGACTCAAATCTAAATATTTAGAATAAAATTGAAATATATAATGGTCAATCCAAATGTTAAAAAAACAATCCAATCTAAATATTGAAAAGTTAAGTCTATATATGTGCTTTATGTGATCACTCCACAAATTTGAAAAAACACCTGGGGTTCATTGGACCCCATTAAGAATGTGAGTGGGTTATAGTAAAAAGTTAGCTGACATGCTGATTCTGGCCGCTGTAGTAGCCTACCAAAATAAAAGCAGGGTGAAAAATATCCCCTATTTAAGGTTTTAGAACAGGCAGAACATAGACAGGATAAGGACCTTTAGAGAGGGGATATCTTCGCCTGGTTGAGTAGATTTTATGGCAGTCTCACTTCAAATGTTTTTTGGACTTTTTTCTAAATATTTATTTTTACAATAATAGTTAGATTTATAGCTCAATGTTTAGACATAACTCGATAAATTTCTAAATAAATGTGCTGAAAAGGTGACTTTAAAATAATTAGTAGTGTTTTGATTAGTTTAATGTGGCAAAGCGTTGTTTTTCAATCAGCGCAGCATATCCCAACGTGGAACCTAAACACCTTTTATTTCGCTGCTCGTACATCTGGGTTTCGGTGGCAGATCTATCCAAGGCAAACTGATTCTTCCCTTTCTGCCAAGAGACTGTCAAAATAATAATCCCTCTCTGGGTCAGAGCACATTAACAGTCTCTTTTATGAGGTAGCAGATCCCAGGAGCCTTTCAGCAGGCAAACCTTCAGAACAATGGAGGCTGTTTCTAGGTGGGTCTGAGTCAATAAACTGGGTCTGCAGGGACGTTTTCAGGGCACATGGCATTCTCACCGAGCTCCTGTAACTTCTCGGCAGCAGATAAGTTTCAAGTTCTGATGCTCTGAATTCCCGCTGTGTATCTGCTGCTGCAGAATACCCACATATGAAAAAAATAAGGTTTCAAAGGAAATGTAATATCCATGTACTGAGTGAGGAGGGGGTTGCTTTCACAGATCAGGGTGGAAACAGGTGTGGTAGAAAGATACCAAAACGGCAAGGCCAGACTGTGGGGTGAAAGCTATAGGGTTGTGCGGGGGTTTAATCCTAACCAGACGTGCTCCGTCTGTCTTTGAG